CTCCTCCTCCTCCTCACACTGTTCCTCCTCCTCACCCTGTTCCTCCTCCTCACACTGTTCCTCCTCCTCACACTGTTCCTCCTTCTCCTCACACTGTTCCTCCTCCTCCTCCTCACACTGTTCTTCCTCCTCCTCCTCACACTGTTCCTCCTCCTCCTCACACTGTTCCTCTTCCTCACACTGTTCCTCCTCCTCCTCAAACTGTTCCTCCTCCTCCTCCTCCTCACACTGAGCTGCTGGGTCACAGTCTGAAGCTTCAAGTCAAGAGATTATAACAGTCACTTGCGGTGGCAAACCGTATTCACATCATTGAGTTAAACTTTGATGAACTTTGCTAAAATCGCGGCCTCAGCCAATAGGAAAGAAGTATGTGTGGTTGACCCTGCTTGACTGTGATTGGCTGTAGTTTTCTGAGGAGGCTGTGATTGTTGCTGGCTGATAGCGAAGCTGAAAACACACCAGCACTGCAGCGGCGTGTCATATTACACACAACAAGTGGTGCTCCTAGCACGCGCTGTAGGCGTTAACGGATGACCACACAAACTTATTACTACTTTCACTGAATGATCTGTAGCTATTCCACCTCTGCGTCAGATTAAAATCAGGTGTGGACATCTACTAATTAAAGTTAATTTCTCATGTGAAGAGCTGTGACTCAACAGGCCTTACCTTACCTTTGTCTTTAGGACTGTGGGTCATTTAGCTCCAGATGGCATGAATGCTAATAACTCTGGTAAACATTCTCATACTTCAGTGTCATTTATGATGTGTGGTGTTTTGACATGTTTCACACTCAGCTCTTCATATTGTTTCCTGGAGAAAAAACAGCGGGACTGTTGTCTGGTGTGGTGCAGTGCATGTTCTCTGGTCGTGTCGCTCCAGTCTCAAAAGTATTTGTGTCTTTCTACTGCAGAGACAAACCTGATTGATTTCAGACCATCTGTCAGCTGTGAAATATGTCTTTAATGTTGATGTATCTTAACAGAATATACAGTTGTGTGTGTGGTGGGCCTGTTCACTGTCTCATTAACATGCAAAGACATGTTGCATTAGTGTTTCAACTGATTGTTATTTTAATCATCAGTTAGTGGAGGTGTAAATCACCAGTTTCATCACGATACGATATTATATCGATATTTTGATCCAGATGGATCGATCGTTTCGCCCCATCAGTTAGTCTTCTTGTTGTTTTTCTTGTTTGTTGTGTAGCGTTCATTAAAGTGAGCGACTGTCGGGCTGCAGTCAGATTCACCCTCCTGTGAGAAACAATGATCATGTGCTAATGTATTAGTTATTATTGTTAGTTTAGTCAATACATTTTAAATGATTTGTAAAAGACATGTAGTTTCTCTTTTTTAATTCAGCATGTTTCAGTTCATTTATTTATACAGGAAGGGATTAAATGTGACATTGTGTGTCAGAGTAAAAACTGGTATGACACAGTTAGAAACTGGTTTCCAGCAGGTTCCTGTTCGGCAACACAAACACATGACAATAAACAACAACAACACAAACAATCAACAGAGACAGAAGAAGAGAACACAGGCAGCTACACAGACTTTACAGAGAGGAGGACGTCAGCTGAGAGATTTAAATCAGTGGTGGTAAGAATATAATTCACTCAGTGTTACTCAGCCTTTAATTTGAAACACATTTCAGTTTGAGCTTAGAAACAGGGATCAGACTTATTCCTGGTGTTTTATATGAAGGCTGGTCTGTGGAGAAGAGTGGGTGTGTTTTAAAGACTGATGAGAGCGGCTGAAGACTCGGCACTCTGTGATTGGCTCTCCCTGAAGCTTCTTTGTCACTTTCTACCTGCAGGACTGTGACCATCAGCAAGCTGCAGGTCTGGACCTGAACCAGAGCAGCACAGACCGTCCTCTCAGCGAGGAGGTGGAGGAGGAGGAGGAGGAGGAGGAGGAGGAGGAGGAGGAGGTGAGAGATGGATGCCTGTTGGCTGCAGGTCAGCAGGGTCACTGTGGGCCTCTCTCTTTGTTTCTACACAGCAGCTAAATGGGTGTAATTGTTTGTGTGCGCAGCAGCCTCACCTGGACTGGTGGGTGTAAATCACAGGCTAATTGTTGGTTGTGTCAGACAGCAGGGCAGCTATAAACAGCAGGCTGAAGGAACAGAAGGACACACCCGCTCAGACTCTCTCTCATTCAGCTGCTGTGATGTGGATAGATGCAGACAATCACTATAAAACAACCTTTAAACATGAGGAACCTGCAGATAGAAAGATTCTCTGTGGTGAACTTCTCAGACATCCACAGTGACATCAGGGCATTCACCCTGTGGTGAAATCACATCAACACTGATTGTGATAGAAACATTTTCTCCACCAGACAATTAGGAACATTTAGACACTGTTGACAGGATCAACATCAGCCAATCACATGGCTCCTCCTTCAGGAGCAGACGGCCCAGGTGTCGAGATACTTTCTCATCCAAACAGGTTTCAAACAGCCATAAAGGAGCGATGCTGATTCAGGTCCACCACAGACATTAGCTGCTGAGGACATGTGCAAACAAAATAACCAGTCAGATTTCACCAGAGTCAGTTTTGGGATGTTCCCTCGTCAGTGGGCTTCAGACTGACTCTGGAGCAGATTAAAGAACATGATCTATTTTAATTATGGTCGTAAGATTCATAGTCACAGAAAATATTGTGGTATCATGAACCAGAATTTATATTATCATCCATCAGAATGACCTTTGAAGGACTGAAAACAGAAGACTTATTTTTGGTTGACCAAATTTTTTTTTTACTATAATTGAAACTTGTTCATGACGTTTGTTTAAAAGTCTCCCTTTTAAAAATAACTAAACTAAAGTGAAGATTCTCTGTCCAGTTGCTTTCTTTAATATGGGAGCTGAGTAAATGTACACGGTGTGATAAACATACGTTTTCATATCATAGTATACCTTGAAACTGGAATACTGTTATAACCCTGTTTTAGAATAAAGTGCATTGGCGTGTGGCAGTACAGTGAACTGCACCGGGTCAGAGCGTGGATTCCTCCGGTGAACAAACTGCAGAACAGCTGCTCCTCACGCTCGTCAAGACTGCAGCAGATTGCACTGGCTGCTTTACTTTTATTGCACTTTCACATTTAGATAAACAGAGCACTGCTTTCACCTCAGTGTGGTGTTACAGTCCTGCTAATGTACAAGTCTGTGCGTCAGAATAAGACAGGACATAAATCACAGAGCATCTCTGAGAAACAAAATATAAATAAAATTGTACCAAGACTTTTGAACCAAAATTAAATTAACAGCTACATTCCTGCTAATTAACAATAAAGACTTAAAATCAGGTTCCTCTGCTGATAACAATGCGTCCTCCAGGAAACGTCTCCACTGCTGTGCAGCCTGTGTCTGTTTTTCACGGCGGTCACGTTACTGTGAGTTGCTTCTGCGATGCTGTTATAGATGTCTCAGTTGATGCTGGACAAAGACGGAGATTACCGGCAACAGTACGGTAACATTAGTGTCATTATTCCTCACGGCCTTCATGTGTTCATCGTACTGCAGATTGTGGTGTTTTTCAAATGGTTTAATGAGTTAGAGGAGTTGCTTTGTGGAGCAGACGTCAGTCTCATGCACTCTTTGTATATGATTTAGTCTCTCCTGTGTCCTAACAGTCAATGATGATGCTTGAACACAGAGCGGCCCGACGGCTCCTCAGAAGTGGAGGCTGCTGTTAGTTTATGAAGCACTTGTTCATTTAACTGCAGAAAGCCAAAGTTGTGATTGTGCAGCTTTACTGATTCTCCACTTCAGGGAAAAGACTGCTCTTTAAATTGATCTGTGTCACAGCTTTTAAAATTCAGGTCCAAGATTTTTCTGATCAGGCCGCTGACAAACAGGGTCAGTAATAATAATGATAATAATAATAATAATAATAACATCATTGTAACACAGCAGTGATGTGGAAGTTAGACTGATTTTAAAATATGCTTCTGTTATCTTGTTTTCAAGAGATGATTGAATTATTTTATTGAACTATTAATGAGACAAGTGTTTGATATTTATTTTGGGGTAAATAATTCTTATATTCATCAAATAATTTAAAAAAATCTTTAGAGTAATTGATAAATTGATCGGCTAATTGAAAAAAAAAAATTAGATAGATAATTAGATAATAATCAGATTAAATGAGAAAAATCTAATTAATAGTTACGGCCCAAAGTCACACAAACACTGACTCCATCAGCACGTCAGTGTGTCAGTAACCACTGAGTGTGTTTGGGAGCCTGTTGATGACGTTATCTTCATTTCACTTAGTCGAGTGTCTGTGATCTAATCTGATGAAGTCAGTCAAATGTCCTGCTGTTATTACAGACATGTGAACTAACCACAGACACATGCTGCCTTCATGGACTCACAGCGATGTGCTGCATTTCACAGCACGCTGCTGCTGCTGCTGCAGAGTGAATAGACTGGAAACACTGGAGTTAATGTTTGGTGTTATATTTGGCATTAGAGAAGATGCCTGCAGGCCGTAACAGGGACCAGATGGTTTCAAATGATGCCTTGTTCCCTTGTTATATCTGCAAACACGAGCTCTGGTGATGATTCCCATTTTAATAATCTATTATCAATAATCCTCGAGCCTCAGGGGAATGTGGCTGCCCAGCTGGGAGGTTGTTGTGTCTCTGTGGAAACAGGACGGCAGGCCTCGGACCAGCCGGCCAAGAATGAATCTATTCTGTGAGGGCTTAGCTGCAGGCCGGCCCTCCTCATCCTCATTGGCTGCCTGTAAATTGTTCTGTGAGGTGGAAAACCTGCTCACATTCTTCTCTGATGAGTTGTATTGTCGCTCAGAGAGCTGCGAGCACACAGCAGTAATTTTCCATCAGAGCAGAGCGATGTGGTGTTTATAGATGTGTTGTCATCCCGTCGATGCCTCAGTCCCCCTCAGCTCACACACTCACACTGCTCCAGTAATTATACACAACAACACACAGGCTGGCCCACCAAGGCAGCCTGTGCTGCATAATCACCACTTTCCTCTGAGCCTCGCTGCATGTGACTGCACGCTGGACGCTCCAACTTCACTGAACGCTGCCGTCAAACCTCAGGCACAAGATGTCACATACAGCTGTACACAGCCACATTACATAAGAGAGCATGAGAACCTGCAGCAGGATCTCTACAAAACAAACTGCTGCACAATTAAAAGATTAACATGTAATCTGAAAAATAGAGACTCACTGTTTCCAGTAGCAATACAACTAATACAAAGTGCCAAACCTCTGTGAAGTACGGTGGCCAGGAGAGCTCAAAGTGCTGTAACTGAAAACGCATGAAGATGAAGTAAAGATCTTCATCATGTTACCATCACATGTCACATTTACAACTGATTCCAAAAATGTGAGTGAAAACAAAACGCAATGATTTGTAAATCCTTTTTGACCCGTGTTCAATTGAATAAACTTTTTTCTTTTTTTTGTTTCTTTGTAAACATACACTCACTCTGAATTTGATGCTGCAGTAGGTTGAAATAAAGTTGTGATGGGAGCAACAACAAAATGTTCTGACCGCAGTGCCCTCTAAAGGCTCAGCTGCTCAGGACGGACACTTTGATACAAACTGTGAGGACAAACATTAGAAACATTACAAATGACCTTCTGATTGCTTCAGACAAAGGACTTGTCTCTGTACTTGTTTTATTAGATCTTAGTGCGGCGTTTGACACAATTGACCATCAAATTCTACTGCAGAGACTGGATCACTTAATTGGCCTAAAAGGTTCTGCACTAAGCTGGTTTAAATCTTATTTATCTGATCGTTTTCAGTTTGTTGACGTTCATAATGAATCATCCTTACGTACCAAAGTTTGTTTTGGAGTTCCGCAAGGTTCTGT